TTCACTTCAATACTGCTTAATGATAGATTTTCGTTGCATGTAATGCTGCTTATTAATTTGGTATTTTTTCTCTTTTCCATTGATAGCTGGAATAGATTATGTAGGCATTAGTCGAAATTTGGATTTTTCCCCTGGAGTCAATATGCAGACATTTCATGTGGTCATTCTGGATGACCTTGGACAGCCAGTGTTAGAAGGGACTGAGAAGTTTGAGCTTGTGCTGAGGATGCCCATGAACGCTGCCCTGGGAGAACCCAGCAAGGCCACCATCTTCATTAATGACTCAGTGTCTGACTGTGAGTAATAGTTTTTTTACCTTTTCTCATTTATGCAGGAGGTAGATGACTGAAGTACACAGATAAAACCTGTTCTTTTGAGTCATACCAAAGCCAGAGAATCTACACATTCCAGCTGCAGATGAAGCATCAATTCATTTGTTGTGTGGCTGCTTAAGTTATGTATCTGATGCAACACAACCTAACTAAACCTGAAATAGTGCAGGGAAGGTATGAAAACTTTTGCCATTATACATTTACATTGTGTTTACACATGCTTTTTCTGCTTTTTTCTGCCCAGTGCCTAAGATGCAGTTTAAAGAATCTGTATATGTAGGCAATGAAAATGATGGACAGATTTCTGCCATGATACATAGGAGTGGGGACATCCAATACACATCCACTGTGAGGTGCTACACAAGGCAAGGTTCAGCTCAGGTGATGATGGACTTTGAAGAACGTCCTAATACTGACAGTTCCATCATCACATTCCTTCCTGGTAAGCTCTTGATCTTATTTTGGAAGCCTTTAGTCCACCATGTTTTGTTTTTCTGTGCTTTGTTTGTGTGTTTTGTTTTATTTTAATTGTGTCTTCTCATAAAGTAGTGCCAAAAAGACTCCTCTGGAGAACCAAGCTTTTTCTCATACCTAATGGGCAGAATGCACAGAAATTATGTTGTCTTTTTGCTTCATTTCTGACCTAGAGGGATAATCAATAGGAACCAAAGGGACTTATCTTCATATAGGTTCAGCCTGAGTGCCAGGATCTTTTTAGCACCAAAACCAGGTTCAGTGTAACACAATTGTGGAAGCACAGACTTACTGCCAGAAGGGAAACTTCAGAAGCCCTGCTCTTTGTAAAGCAGATTTCTGGTAAATACATTTGACTTGCACTGAAATGAGTAATAAGTCTTTCAACAGGGATCGCATCTAGGTCTCTAATTTCATTTGGAATTTTTTTTCCCACTGAGGCTTTCCTAAGGCACCAATATCAGGCACTTCATATCTCACATCAGAGCTGAAATACAAATAAATCATTTGCTACTACCTTGAAAGAATATTGCCTATTTCAGAGACAGTTTAGTCTTTTAGTCTTACGCTTACACACACATAGTTTTTTTTAAAAAGCCCTAAAAAAGTTCTGTCATCAGCACAAAATCTGTGGTATGCCCTGATCAGAGAAATTACAAGCTTCACACTTCTGTAGACACATATCCTAGCTCTTTGGTAAAGTGAGTTGTTCAGTCTGTCTTTCTTTAGAGCTGGCCTCAGCTTTTAGTCTTGTCATGTACTCTATACTTTTGCCATTGCTTCTGTGCAAGCAGGAGGGTCCAGCTTGTTAGCACTACCAGATCTAGGCCTCTTAGGAAGTCACTTTCCTCTTTTTTATGAGTATCACTCTACCATTTCTCCATCAAGACCAGTAGCAAACAGGTCTAGGATCATGTCTTGTTTCCATTAGCTTCTCAGGCATGTTTAATGTGTGGCAGTTGCAGTACAGTTCTCACATTTCCCAGGTAACAATGAGCAGGATGAATATTTTGTATTTCTTTTTCTTTTCCTAATGGATAATTTATTTTCTATATGGGCAAAAAACAACTTCAGAAAATTAAGACAGTCAGCATCCTGGTCTGATTCTGCATCTTGAAAAGCCTTGGTCATATTTGCATGTGTAGTGATGAAAAAATGCTGTAAATTGGCCTCACCTCTCTCACAGCCTGTGCTATTCCTTTTGTCAGGGATGTAGGGGTCATTCTTGTGATGATGAGCCCACTAAGTCTGACAGTGGGACCTAATCACTGCACAACACTCATAACTTTGCTGCTCTTGTAGAAGGCCTAAGACAAGGCCTTTTTCCCAGAGCTTCTGAACATACACTGATTCTAGACACATTGTTTTGTGATTGCTCAAACTGAGCATTTTGCAACTTCAAAGCATTTTTTAGGCAATATTCATGGTCACTTGGAATCAATAGGAGTTTAAAGTCATTATAATTAAATGGAATAATATCAGTGAAGGGCCACACAGTTGGACACAATCCAATCAAAAGAGAACTGAAATACAGAACTCCAGGGCAAAATTAGTTTTAGTGAAAGTTTCTAATAGTCTGCTTCCTTGTGCAAGTATTTATTTTTTAAATACACTCTGTGGGAGAGGTCACTGAGGAGGAATATTTTATTCTAAATTAAAACAAAAGGAACAATACATGTGAAGTGAATATACCAAACAGAAACTTGTCTTACTGAAGTTCCAAAATGGGGGATTTCACTTTAATGAGTTTCCACAGAAAGGCAATGATTGTTACTTTTACTTTCACTGTTGTAATTACTCACTAACTTACATGGTGTCAAGGTGGATACCTTGGCCAGCAGAAGCAGCCTGTGGTTCCTTCAGCGTGGAGAGGAGTTCTCTAATAGAGCAAAGAACACCTAAGTTCTGCATGATATTACCTTCAGAATGATTGCAGGTGAAACTGAGAAGCCTTGCACGCTGGTGCTTATGGATGACACTTTCCATGAAGAAGAGGAAGAACTACGTCTGGTTCTTGGCACTCCAAGAAGTGACTCTTCCTTTGGTGCCTCTGTTGGCGAACAAAACGAGACGCTCATCAAGATTCGGGATGATGCAGACAGTAAGAAATTATTTTATTGTTACTGTCTTTTGGAAGATCATTTGTGTGCTCTGAAAACATTTTTTCTTCTCATTACAGAGGCTATTATAAAGTTTGGTGAGACCAAATTTAGTGTCAGTGAACCGAAGGACACAAGACAAGTAGCAGTTGTGAAAATCCCAGTGCTTCGTCTGGGAGATACCTCCAAGGTTTCTGTTGTGAGAGTTCATACGAAGGATGGGTCTGCTACTTCTGGAGAAGACTACCACCCTGTGTCAGAAGGTAGGATCATTCAGAAGATTATCACATCCTGCTATTCATTTTTGTTCATGACTGTAACGTAATCTTTGAAAAATGAAATAACTTTATGAATAGAATACTTTGCAACCACATCCTTTAATACATTTTGCTGTTCAAATTCAATATGAACATGATCCCATGTGGTTTGCAACAGCCAAATTGCTCTTGAAGTGCTAGATAGCAGTGGAGATGTTTACAAAAGAATTTATGACTACTATGAAAACATCTGTAGCTGTGGAAGAATTGTGTGAGTGCCACCTTAGTAACATTACTTTGCAGAAGTATCTACTCAGAGTGTGACTGTGTAGTTGTAAATGGCTTTTGCTCAATGTAGGAATTCCTGTCTATTTTCTGTTTATTTTTCTACTTTCAGAATAATTAAGCTTTCCTTCTATATCTCTGCAATTCACTGCCCACTGCTTCTCACTAGTAATGAATGAGAAGTTGTGCAAGAGAATGAGAAATTTCTTAGCTGATAAACTTATTTCCATTAATAGCCCACCCACATGGTTTAGTGAATGACTAGCAGAGTTTGTAGCACTATGAATTTTTCTTCTTCTAAGCCTGCTTCACCACAGGCTGCAAGGGAATCTGCTCCAGTGCCTGAAGCACCTCCTCCCCCTCCTTCACTGATCTTGGCATCTGCAGAGTTGTTTCTCTCGTATTTTCTCCCTTCTTTCTTCCAAGTGCAGGTGCTGTTGTGCAGCAGGTTTTTCCCTCCTCTTAAATGTGTTATCCCAGAGGCACTCCCACCATTGCTGATGGGCTCAGCCTTGGCCAGTGACACATCCCTCCTGGAGCCACATGGCACTGGCTTTATCAGACATGGGGGAAGCTTCTGGCATCTTCTCACAGAAGCTACCCATGCAGCCTCCCCATACCAAAACCTTGCCATGCAAACCCAGAACAGTCAGCTAAGATAGAACTTTTAATCTGCCATGACCTCCAAAGTTTTGTCAGAGATAATGCTTTTCAAAATACAGTACTCCTTTATGTAACTGTAGCTTTGTGCCTTATTTTTAGTATATAACACTGCAATAAAATGCATTTTGTTTGAGTAAGAGCTGACAATACTTTTTATTTAAAATTCTTTAGTCTTTTGGCCATTCACATATGTTACCAACATTTATGTAATAATTAGTCCCAGAGAATTTTCAAAATCTTGTCCTATTAGACTAAAACTTGATCATTGCAAACCTCTTTTGACGACAGGAATGTCGGTGATTTCCATGTGTGTCCACTGCTATTCATTATTATTATTATTTGTAGCATGAATCATTTAGATTGAACTAAATATATGAACATCTGTAATTTAAAAATCAATATTGACTGCCATCTTTCATGGCCTGGCCTAGAATTACAGCTTCTTCTGAGCAACAGTTTTATTTTTATGTTTTTAGAGATTGAGTTTAAGGAGGGTGACACACAGCACTTTGTGGAGATTGAAGTTCTCTTTGATGGAGTGAGGGAGATGAGGGAAGCCTTCACTGTTCACCTGAAGCCTGATGAGAACATGGTCGCAGAAATACAGGTAATGAACTCATGCAAAGGCCTCAACAACAAATCTGGTAAAAAGACCTTGCTTTCTGACTCACAGCTTTACTCTGAAGGTTCATACATGCCATCTGGGTTTGTATCTTAAGACAAAGAGTATCATCCCAGCTGACACAGTAACACCTACCCAAAACAGTTTGTTGCCAAGGCAGTAATGGTTATGGGGTCATAAAGACACTGAGAGACTGAAGCCTTCAGAATATCATTCCAGATACATTCTTCTCATAGAATCAGTCCTAAAAACTGATGTCATGTTAGAAAAACTATTTGGCAATACAATATAACCTCTGTGCTCTAAAAAGAACAATCAGGTGAAATATAACCTTCTGCTGTCAAAATCGTGTTAATATTGTTCTTACTGTGTGAAATGAAATGGACACATATTCTTGTTGCTTAGCATCATATCATACATACTTTTAATTTAAACAGCATATTCTTCTGATTCTGCATAAAATGTTCTTCAAATTCTTCAGCAGTATCAGTATCACACCATCCATAGCCTGACTCCAGGTAGCCAGGCTCAGTGCCTCAACCCTTTCTCAGTGGCACATCCAGCTGAGGTTTTAGACCTTCTTTTGGGACAACGTTTCAAAGGCTAGACATATTCTGATCAAGATCCAGCTTGAATCCCCTTGTTTATTTAAATGTTCACAGAGAACTGTTTCTGCCTTTTCTTTGTCAGACAGCCAAGGCCATTGTTTATATTGAAGAAATGAACAGCATGGCAGATGTTACCTTTCCCTCTGTCCCTCAAGTTGCATCCCTTTTGATATATGATGATACTTCTAGAGCCAAAGACAGAACCAGTCCCATAGCTGGCTACCCTGTCATCTGTATCACAGTGAGTATCTCTGTGGAAAGATGGGAAAAAAAATCAGTATATGACTTTTGTTTAGTGGATTTTAGGCATTGAGTATCAATCCATATTGTTGTGAGTCAAACATGAGTTCAAGTTAGATCTGTCCTAAGAGCTAATCTAATTTGTCTGAATAATAAGTCAATTTGCAGGAGAACAAAAAGCATAGAAAGATGTTTCACTTGTTCAACACTAAGAACAATTTGATACTTACACTGTATCTATGATTGGGTGACCTTCCTATTTCCTGCGTTATCCTGCCTTGATTTGCAGAGTGAAAATCACTGGAAATAATAGATGAGCCACTGATTTCAGTGAGTGTCACAGACAGAAAAATTAGTGCAGTTTGTTAAAGTTCTATGGGGTTCTTTCACTAATTTTGCATCTGAAAGCTTTGCATGAATATTGATAAGCAGGGAGAAAGAGTTTGGTCCATCTGCACCTTCAGTTTGTTTCTCACTCCATTTCTGATGCATGGGAATGAATCATAAGTAGAATGGCTCTGATAAATAAAAAAAAAAAAAAGAGAAAAATGAAGGAATCTTGAAATGCAAGGTATGTTTGCAGAATTAGTGCTTTTATTTTATATGAGAGGTTTTATTTTTATTAGAGTTTTTAATTTTTTATTAGAGTTTTTTTCTTTATCTGTTTTAAAGTATTTTTGCAGAACTAGAGAATTTTCAAAGGGTGAAATTCAAGTTAAAGTAGTGTGTGAGAGTGTAGTTTTTGTGCCTTCATAACTATGTTAGGTATTCACCTAGAAACCTTCATTTAAAGTAATATTTTTATTTCAATAAGCATAATTAGACCTGCCTTTTAATCTACCATAACAGTGCTAAAAGCTTCACTGCCAATGTAAGGTCATTTCTTCAGAGATTTTCTGGGATTGTCAGTTCAATGTGGTTGAATTTTGTGACTCTTGATAAATTAAAATTCCTTTGCCATGAAGCAAATAACTTTCAACACATCTGCTTTCTTCTGCAGGCTTGTAATCCTAAATATGAAGACTTTGACAAGACTGGCTCGATATGTGCCAGTGAGAACATCAATAACACTCTGACCCAATACCGGTGGCTTGTGAGTGCACCCACTGGTCCTGATGGTGTGACTAGCCCCATGAAAGAGGTGGACTTTGATACCTTCTTCACTTCCTCCAAGATGATTACACTTGACTCCATTTACTTCCAAGCTGGTTCTCGTGTCCAGTGCGCAGCTCGTGCTGTCAATTCAGATGGGAATGAGGGTCTTGAGCTTATGAGCCCCATTGTGACTATCAGCACATCAGAAGGTAAGACATCATCACCTTTTACAAAACCCCTGACCTCCTTTGGATCCCAAATTCCACCCTAGCAAAATCTCACTACATGATCAGGTGTTTCAACATTACAATCTGAGCTTTTCTTCTGTTGGGCATAGAGGTGGGGTAAAAACTTTCTTAACACAGCAGAAAACTGTATAAAGAAAATGTTTGTAATCTTTGCTAGTTCCCCTCATCTTTAAATAGTCTCTGACATAGCAAACTTGAGAACAGCATATAATGTGCATTTTTCATTCAGCTGTAGTAACGTTGTGGTACAATCTCACTTCCTATTAGACACTGCAGAACCCACTTGGGAGCACTCTTATCAATGCCTAGCCAGAAGAAAAGCTTCATTTGGCAGTCAGGCCAAATCAAGAGAGAATCAGTGTCTTCCTTGAGTAAGGACTAAAACAACTGGTGTCCAATAACAGGGCGTACAGAAATTTTTTTCGTGGTTGAGGTCTTCATAATATTCATCTTTCTTCTTTTTCTGATAGTCTCTTTATCACTCTCTGATTCTCTGATACCTAATCAATAATGAACTGATGCTGCATTCTCTTAGCCAGAAGTTACTGTAAGTCAACTTCCATCACCCAGACAACTCTTCTCATAAAACTTGTTCTGAATAACGTTATGAAGCAGCAGGAAGAGCTGACATGCACACAAGTGCAGTCTGCAGCATATACTATTTTGTGGTAGAAATCACAGATACTTTTGAGTAATTATCAGCAATCAAGGTAAATTAGAAACCATTGTATTTTATTACCCTTCTGCAGCCATTTTATATTCTTTGTGTAATCTGTGCTGCTCTTGTAGCTACATTAACTCTTCTGGGTTTTGCAAGATCTTACAGTAGATAATAAATTACCTGATTGTTCATTTGTGATAACATTTTAATTTGCTTGGTCTTTCCAACTACATATTTCAGCTAGAACATTTTATTTTCTATTAAGTTAGGGCTTTAAGGAGCTTAACAACTAGGATTTCTATTTACCCCTGTCCTTTATTCCACATTTTGACTGTAGGCTCAAGTCTCCTTTGTGCTACCAGGAAACCTACACCTTAAAGGGGACTCTGTCTAAGGGTGTTGTCTACAAGGTGCAATGTAGTGCTTGTTTAAAGGCAGACAACAGTGTGCTTGGTGAGCTAGTTTTGTTATGTAAAGCAGACAGGCTTTGTTAGTGTTATAATGCAGTCTTCAGATTACACTTGACAAATTAGCTCAGGCCCAGGACTGAATTGTTGTGCATCTAGTACTTCCAGTACCTGAGCTGGAAGTCAACAATACTGAAGATCATGTACAACATAAAGGGAATTGTGAGGTGCTGTTTTGAAAGAAGTTCAATGATTAAAGCAACCTGGCAAAATCTTGAATATTTTAAACTTTGAGGGTGCTTAACCTGCAGTGCACAGGCAAAATAAGCAAAAGTAGGTCAGACTCTGCAAAAAATTGTATTTAGCCTCTTTAGCACATCTTACTTGCATTTGAGGGAAAAACAAACAAACAAGCAAAAAACAAGAACAACAAAACAAACCCACAAAACCATATATTGTCCTATGAAGGCATATCCCAATCCAGTGCCAAAAGCAACCAGTGATTAGGTGTCTTCTGTAAATCTATGTACGTGCTCAGGATGGTGGGAGGAATTAAAACATACACCTCTGAGGATCTCTGTATGGCACTGACTTTGCAAGTGTGATTGACACATGCAACTGAAAATGAACAGGTACAGTGTCTTCCCCTGGTTTTGAAAATGTGGTCCAATTGACTGAGTAATGATTTCTGCTTGAAGCCTCTTTTGCACAAATTCCTGTTCAAACCTCAGGGAAACGCTGTTAAAAGCATTTACCTGTCATGCAAGAAAACTATCCTTGTATTGGAAACTTGTACAGTGGAAAAAAGTGCTTCTAAAAATCCTGTGAAGGTAAGTATAAATTATTTCCTCTGGACATAAAGTAAAACTGCTTTCTCCTTTTCCCATTAGGTCTTTGTCAGCCTCGTGTGTCAGGAGTAGTTGGAGCAGAACCGTTCTCTGCCAAGCTGCGCTACACGGGCCCGGAAGATCCTGATTACACCAACCTCATCAAACTGACAGTCACAATGCCCCATATCGATGGTATGACAAAATCAGCTGTGGCCTTCAAAGGACTCATACCACAAGCTGTCATTTGAGCTGGTTTATTGGTCGTGTTATTTTAAACAGCCCAAAATAATAATCTTTTAGCACATGGGACCGGAGAAAAATGTGATGAATGTACAAGTGCAGTTTGCAACAAGATGCATAAGAAACTGTTTTAATACACAACAATATTTTGGTGTTAATATTAAGTGGTTTGGGGTTAACTGAACAGTTTACATAAGTTGGGCTGGACCTACACTTTGTAAAACTCTTTTGAAGTGCATAGAGATACGCCAAAGAATAATTTATTCATTAAAAAAATATAAAGCCATTTAATTAATGTGTGCTTCTGAAAAAAATCACACCAAATCCTGACTGAAAAATATTTTGGAGATGTAGAAGTTTTTTATTTAGCATTTTATAACATAAAGACATAATTATTGTGGATAACATTCTCCTACACGCTTCGCATAGTGACTTTCTTTGAATCCTAAAGTATATTAATTACTGTAATTACAACATATGGAAGCACTGCATAAGGTGCTTAGTGTTGGACAAATTTGGGCTAAATTAAGCAGCTCTGACCACTGAAATTTAGTGACAGTTTTATAAATTGCTGGTTTTTTTAGGCATGCTGCCTGTTATTTCTACAAGAGAGCTCTCCAACTTTGAGCTGACGCTTAGCCCTGATGGAACTAGAGTTGGCAACCACAAATGCTCCAATCTGTTGGATTACACAGAAGTGAAGACCCACCATGGCTTCTTAACTGATGCTACCAAAAATCCAGATGTGATTGGAGAGACCATTCCCTACCAATACAGCCCAACAATTAGAGGTTTCAATACCTTACGCTTCTACCGCAACCTGAACCTGGAGGCCTGTTTGTGGGAGTTTGTGAGCTACTATGACATGTCTGAGCTCCTCACAGATTGTGGAGGCACCATTGGGACAGATGGACAGGTACAAAACTATAACTTGATTTTGCACTGTGTTCTTAAAATAACAGATTTCCCTTATATTGCTAGAAATAAGAGGGTTTAGAATTAGTTTAGTTGAGAAGTGTTCTTTTTTTTTCTTATATAAGAACTAGACTTCCCCTAAGGCCAGCTTATTTCTTAAAGCTATCAATATCTGGTAAATACTAGTAGGCTGTATGTGAAAACCTTGCCCAACTGAAATGAAGCAGGTAATTTAGTTCTAATGATGTGTGCCCTGATTTTCTCCCAGTTATTTTGAACTTTTTCTGCATAGTGAGCCTTTTTTTAGAATGAAAGCCTTCTAAAGGCTTGCTTTTAGCACATTGATAGTACTGGGCTATTTAGTATTATAATGGTGTGTGTTAAAAAAAGAGTTTAAAAAGCTTGTGAAGAGCCCTTTTGCTGATAACAATGGACAGCAGTGTCCTACCAGCTGCTTGGCTCTGCTGATCTCTTGCCCACTGGGTAACAAGACCCACCAGTGCAAACAGCACAGTGGTCTCACATTACCCCACAGAAAATTCCTGGGTCAGGAAGCAAAGAGAAGCTAGCCATGGAGAATGGCTGAAGGACAGAGCTTTGAAGGTGATTGGGTAGTTAAAAGATTGGAGGGATCTTCATGTGTCATTTGGAAAATTATTCCTAGAAATCCATAAAATGTGCAAAAAGATGCATGATGTCTTCTGGCAAAGTGACAGTGAAGTTAATCCCTAGGTCTTCCTTGCACAATTACTACATAAGCCTGTCTGATCTCACTGGGGCTCTGGTGTACAAAAACTGTAGCTATGAAGATTAATCCTTTATGACAGAGGAAAGTGTCTTTGGGAAATAATCCCACAGGCTGGAAGAAAGACTGGAAATTCAGGACCTCATTTCAGAGGAGTCCATCCACGGCACGACACCTGTGTGGTAAAGAACTCACTCTCCTGGCTCCATGTTGAGCCACTGTGGAAAGGGTGAGGCCACTCTGTGAAATGGCCATAATTACTCTGCCTTTTAATAGATGTTCATTTTCTCAGGGAGCCACCTGCTTATCACACCTCAGTAGACTTATATGTACAAATTATTACTTTGTCAGTCCCAAATGGCAAGAGGCTTTAGCAGATGAGAAAAGTGTGTCATTGCCCAAGGAAACCTATGGACATCTGCAACAGGAAAGCTATTTTACTACTAAAAGCATTGGTACCAATGGACATTGAGATACCTGATCAGATAAGCTGATGTTTCTTTTTTTTTTTCTATCCTTATATGCCTAAAGTCTGCTTTACTCTCTGGGTGTCCACAGCTAATCATACTGTCAGTTTGCTGGAGAAAAAATTGCACCAGGCTCTTTAGCCTTTGGTTGGCTTCCTAACATTGTCCCTTTTAACTAGAAATGACATATTCTGTAAAGAGTAAGACCAAAACAACATAGAGCTTCTGCCCTTCAAAGACCTTGAGAGATAATTTCATCTTAGTGCTCTGTCACCAGTTCTGGTTATTTGTCTGTTACAGAGACTAGTTCAGGGTCTCTGTCTTGATGCTGGAAGCTCATTGGTGTTTCACCCACTTGGGGTTGCCCCTCTGCTACAATCAGATCCTCCTACAGGTACATTCCACTGGAACTAGGAACCTGTCAGGGGGGAAGGGAAGGCATGTGTGTGGGGGACACATTCCTGACACATTCCCACAAGATAAAAGTGACAGCAGTCTTCACTGCTCTTAGAGCAATTTAATTTCTTCAGCTCATCATTCCTTTGAGTACCTTCTTCTGCTCATGCAATATGCAACCCTATGTTCTTATTTTCTACACAACACAATCATAAACACACACAGCTGCCAAGCAGCTGTAACTCCAGTCCTGTGACCTGTGCAAGCCACTTGTCCCACAGAGAAAAGGAAGGAAGACTTGGCATTAATCCTTTCCATATTGAATACTTTTTTGTCCTTCAGAGAAAAGGCTGTATAGCTGGATTAGACAAATGTATGTCTACATAAACTTATATATGCCTATATGCATACAAATAGAGGAGAAAATAAGCACCATTGCAGTATTTGAATAAATTAAAAGACCCTATATGTTCAGTTGTGGAGGACATGCATAAATGGTAACATGGCCAAGGAAGAGAGCTGTCCTTGCTTTAAGCTCCAGAACCATTGTGTACTTTAGGTAAGATCCCTCATTTAAAAGCAGAGGGATGAACGTGAGCTATGAGAGCCATCAAACTGCAGCTGAAACAGCCTCATAGGTTATGGCTAAAAGGTTACAGTGTGTTAAGTGAAATATCAAGCTGAATTACTTCTAGCAGTGGAGCATTGCCCCACAGCCAGTATGCCCTTCACTGCCCTCCCCGTTCCCCCCACCTCCATTTAATTCTTCTCCAAGTTTGGTCTTTATCTTCACATGACCCCCTCCAGCTGAGAGGGGAGGCAGTCAGTGCCCTATCTCTGTGGTTCTTACCATTGTTGGTTTTTTCTCCTTCAGTGAACAATTAATAATCCTCCTCTGTGAGAGGAAAGCTGGCAGCTATGGGTTACACCAAAGGTTTTTTTAGCACACAAAGAAAACGTAAGTTCTGTTATACAGAACAAAACAGATAAATAACAAAAACACTCTTACCACATCCTGCCACCCCTGCAAATTCAATAGCTTGAATTTACCAGATATTTTGGCTAGATCTTTATGCTCAGAATCCTCTTCCTTGATTCTACCTCTCCAATACCTGTATGGTCAAACAAAGATAGCACTGTTGATTCAGAGAGATTTCACAAAAGCAACTGGCTAGATCTGGCATGCTGTAGACCTTCACTTTATGGGAGCTCCTCCTGTGGCAGGGGAAGAAGATGAGCTTCAGTCAGCAAGAAGTGAAGTGGGAAACCTGCAGCTGGTGTAGTTCTTCTGGCAGTGCTCCTAGTGTTTGCTGCAGGCTGCAGCTGTCTTAGCCAGTTCCCATGAACTCATGAACTGTCATAGTACATACAGAGAAGGTCTTAGTTTTCTTTTTTTTTTTCCCTTTGAGGCCTTTTGCTTGTGACCCATTCTCTTTCTCAATTATGCTGTGCATGAGCAAACCCTGTGTGAGTTAGATGCAGCACTCCTTTCAGGATACAGCTTGATGCTTTGTTCCTGGGGTCTGCCCATTTTCACCACATATGAAAAATTAGGCTTTTATTTCTTTAAATGTGAGGTTAGGTGTGCAGCCTAAGGAACATATTTAAAAATAAAGACCTACTCCTCTTTAAATTGAGCTAATTCACTTGATTAGAGTTCTGTTCTGGTTAAAGTTAAGGTCAGCTTTGATGATTACCAGCAATGGTTTTCTTTTGGACAACCTCTAGTCACAGTCTAAAATTAATGTCTGTCTTTGGATACATATAGGCCTTAAAAATGCAGAACTCACCTACCTGAGGGCTGTCTTCGTTTATTTTCAGGTAATTAATAAAGGTTGGACTCTACTTCATGGGGACATTGTGAGGGTCAAGTACTATAGACATCTCACATTCTCAAGATGCAGGGGCTGGGACAATGTCAGTCATGAAACCAAGTTTAAAACATGATACAGTGAAAACCAAGCAAGTGACTATCCTTTAATAAAGTATATATTGAAGTGTTTGCCTTATTTGATAGAGTGTGAAGTACCATTTGATCTCATTTCCTACTCTTATGACTGTTTGCTGCAGCCAGTTTGGCATCTGAAGGCTTCTGTAGTGAAAGCCAAGTATTTATAGATGGACCTTGGTTTCCCAGCTTTCCCATCCAGTGCCAGACTTGGCATTGGGAAGGAAGGGAATTACCATTCAAATAAAATTTTATTAACAACTAGTTAGGCAAGTCTTTGACAGAACCAAGAAGGCAAAGAACATATATTAAAATATGTGAACGTATAGATTGATACCTCAAAGGTAATTGAGTACAGCTGAGCAATTTGGTTTGTTCTCTGACAAAATGTGGCCAAAACTAAGAATGTCTCCCAATGAGTTCAGCTCACATTTATGATACATAAGCTACATCACTGAGTGTTTGAAAATCCCATCTGAAAACTGCTTTTAAAATCACTAATATATTGCTGCAGCTTATACAAGGCAGCTTGCATGTTTTTTATTACACAGAAACAGTCTATTTCCAGCTTTACTAGTTCTAGTTTTACCAAAATCATACTTTAAGGGGAAAAGTCAGCTCTTCTGAAAATCTCACTAGATGCTGTAAAATACAAATAGATATAAATGTCTATTTTCAGATTTTTATGTTCAGTTCAGCAGTCAGGTTTAAAAACCCTGCAGTTTGTATTCCCTTGACATGGAAGCTCACTGTCAAACCTCTTTCTTTCTCCAGCTGCAAACACATTTATGAAGCACTGTGAAGAAAAAACTCTACAGTAAATACCCCAGCTGTGTAACAAAGTCAGGGGTTACATTTTTCAGGGAGCTGGCATTTCAAGGCTGCATTGCATTCTCCTCTCCATTCAGGCTTCTTTAAACAAACCTGCTTTGCATTTCACCTGAGACCTACCTGGCTGCGTGCCTTCCTGGGGCCAAATCTCAGCTTCACCACACTGGTATTGTGCAAACAACTAATTGATAACATTTTTGAGCTTGTGTGACACAAATTCACAGACATAGCAAGTGAGGCTTAGGGTAATTTGGAGGACAAAAACCCAATTTTAACAAAAAGTTTGTTTCATCAGGATATACAATATAAAGCATGAACTTGTGCTATTTCTAATTTCTAATTCTGATTTTATCAGTACTAACAGTGCACACGCACAGCCTGCCAAGTTCTGCCCTCTGGAAATGTAAGACATAAATAAAACACAATATAAATGTAGAACAGAGGCCATGCCCCAAAGCTTTAACTGAAAATATTTTTTTTGCTGTAAATATTCTCACTTGTTACACGACAGATTCTCAAACTAATTATGTTTTTTTACTTAATGAAGTTTGACAGTTTGCATCAGAAAGGGGAACAAAAGAAGAACACCTTTAGAAACTCCCATTAATATTTGCTGAGTCTTAAATGGGAACTATTAGTGTTAAATAATAGACCTTATGCTCTGTGATAATCTATCTTGAGCAGAAAATGTGTGAAATTCTATTTCTTGTATCAATCTCCAGTATAAATCATGTTCTTCTTTCACACACACATGAATTTTGAGATGCATGATTTGTGATCTACATTTTTTAATATAGTGTCTGTAGGATTCTGTTCCCCTCTTGGAAATTTTTTTCTCTAATATCTTCTCAGGTTTGCCAGACCTGCAATTGTCACAGGGTGCTAGATGCAATTTCCCCAATTCAACTGAGGTGTAGCTGCAGTCTGTACTTCTCTCCTAGTACCACGAGGCTGAAAGTCACACCTACTTCTTATTGTTCCAAATTAATGTAAATGGGGTTTAAATTCATGTAAATGGATATAATTTGTCAGTACAACTGCTGAAATGCCCTGTGCATAGGATGCATAGATAGATAAATGCACCTGTTCTGTCTCTCCACAGCAGTTAAGCTGACCCTACACTTACACAGCTTTAAGTTACCCTTTTGGTTTCATCAGTGTCACATTGAGATAAAAGATGAACAGCTGGCTATTTTCAATAAGCTTTGCAGGCAGTGCTGGGAAATAAAGATAAGTCAATGGAAAGAATGTTTTCTCATGTTTGCCTGAACAGCATTATTCAGAGGGCTGGAGAAGTGAGACCCCTCCATCTGTGGAACACATTCCATCGATTGATTTGTTGGGGGGGGTCTGGTCCCTTACTCTGAAACAGTTTTCCTCTGCAGTTGATTTCCTCTTTTCCTCATTTCATTTTTATTATATCAAGAATCATATAGCATATCTTGAGATTTTTCTTTGCTGCCTACTGAAAAGTACTTTTCCCCTTGTGGCATTTTCCTTTATGAAGAAATGAGAGGGTCTTGTACGTTTTAGCTTTCTGCTAGGAGAGAGACAACTATTTATTCAGTAATTCTCTGGCTATGAGTATTGTAGGTTTTCCTCCACACCTGCAGATCCATGAGTGCCTGAAGAAGGGTTTGTGTGCACAAAAACTCAATTGGCTGGTTTAGCAAGATCTCCCTCCTCTCTCTAGGCCATGTATCACAGGCAAGGGCAGCTGTACTGATGGAAGCACATAGACAGTCGTAAGCAGATGAATAAATTCCCAGGCTGGAGCAAGCAGCCTTGCTACCCAGAGATCTCTTCTGGGTTTTGCTTAAAAGGGAATAACCACCTAAATTCTAGGGCCCTAGAAATGGAGCCAATTCTTTGGCCTCATGGTTTCATGTTTTCCCACAGAGCAGTGATAATGTATGACAAAGGAGTGGTGTTTCAGCAGAAGTGCTCCAGAAGGGATCCTACTGCTCGATCTCCAACCCATCCAGATGACTTGAGCTCACTAACACTGTTCCCATTGAATGGAGACATGAAACCCCTAAAATTTGGCTTACAAGCACCATTGATGGATTGCTTTAAGTACAGCGTATGTGAAGAGACGATGATATCTTGTACTTGAAATTCAAGAAAAGCTCTGAAAGAAGTTTTTTTTTGGGGGGTTTTGTTTTTTTTTCACTTGAGATGGCATAAGATACTGAGCCAGAAAGGGTTTTGTGGATCACTCTGTCCAGGCCTCTCCCTTAACTCTCTACATAATGTGGTTCCAACACTAGTAAAAATCTAAAACCCAATAGGATTGCATGGCCTCACTATTCTTGTTGAATGCCACCACACTGAGGGCTAGAAATTCTTCTGACTTCCAGAATTTGCCATGAACATCATCTGTTCCCAAGTCAGCACCATCTTTCATCTTCAGTGGCCCTTTTCCACTGTTCATCTCCTGACATGTACAGACAGAATTCTCGTTCCCTCTCAGCCTTTGTTGTACTAGGCTAAGCAGCCTGGCTATTTTAGTCTATTCTCATCAGATAGGTTTGCCATTCCTGTGATTAGTTTGATTTCTTTTCTGCAGTCTAGAATGCAAATTAGGCTTTTTCAAGCACGGATGATCAAAGCTATTCCAGATAGCTCTCACTACTGCTCTGTGTAATGGCATGCATGCTTCTAATTTCCCCCCCATTCCTCAGTTTATCTTAGGATCATATCACATAGAGAGGGTGGGAAGGTCATAGTTATGATGTGATCAACTCACATACCAAAATATTTTCCCCTCTATTCTTTCTAACCAATGTCTTTCATTTCTACCAGAAATCCCTGTCAGTAGTTTCTATTACCTTATACTTTATGCTATAAGGTTTCATCTCACTTGTATTATTCTGGTCCTCAAGGTCATTAAAGTCTCCCTGTGTGATAATTCCAGTCCTCTTCTACTTTATCATTAAGCATTATGCATGCTGCTTTTCAAGAGGATAATGGACATATATTAAATCTTCCATGTATCTTTGTCTTCCTCATAAGCAGACTGAATTTCAGATCTTTGACTTCAGTGTCTAGTTCTTACTATGCAACATGCAGATGAAGAGTAAAAACCCACAGAGAGAAGCCAACAGAGTTTGTCCAGGATGACTTTTCAGTAGTAACACATTTATTATAGTCCCAGGAAATGACAAATGTTTGAGATGACTCCTGAACTGAAGGCAAACCATGATGTGATGTGGCATTGCCTCTTAGCTGTATTTTTTTAGATAGAAGAGATTATCTGTTGTTATGTGGAACAATTTAGCAACTCCATGTCTGAAATAATTGCTCAGATATCCATGCCAGTATCCTAAAGATAAAATTGCAACTTAAATAGGACTAAACAATAATATTTTTGTCTTAAGTTTGATGTCATCCAATACACATAGAGAAGAAAATCCTTTTTATTCCAAATAGAAATTCTCAATTATGTTTATGTAAACCCAACAAAGATGCATTAATATAAAAAATAAATAAAATAAAATCTCATATTATCTACCAGGCTGCTTTACTGCATGACACTCTGTGTTTCCAGACTGTCTGGAATGTCTAAATGCTAGAACAATCTATGGAACAATGCAAATGACATAAGTGGAAAGGGGTTTGGTAGCAAAAACTCTGTCACTTGTGAAAGTGAGTTGTGGCAACTATGAACATTTGACATAATGAACTCCTTAATTAGCTAAGAGTATTTAGTCAGTGCAGGCAGTAAATGAGTGGTTTCATGGTATTACTAAAAGTCATTTGGAAATGTAAATCAGCTGTAAGGTAATGGACATTCAGCCCCCTGCCCTGCCACTGGGAGAACCCAGGAACAGTTTGATTTTTACACAGCCTGGGAAGTTCTTTGACTGTTGGTTTTTTTTTTAATAGTGCAAAACACTCTTTAGGAGCTTCTAAGGTAATCACTCCAGGGAAATGTTCAGATGTACAAATTTACTTATGGAATTACTATTAGAAGGAAAAGAAAGTTCAAAACCATTCATGCCTTTGGAAAGTTTCCCACTGAGAGATGATCTCAGTGCTTTTTCTCCCATGTATTTCTAAGAAACTCCAGACTGTTCTAAAGGGACCTGGATTGTGCATTTCTACTCAGAGATGTGAATGAAAAATTATTTTTAACTAAACATAAATGCGAAGTCTCTTACAAAAGATTTGGATCCATGTATCATGTAAGAGCTGTCTTAAGAGACAACAGTTTACTGACACTGTTCTTGCCTTTTTTTTCATCAATATATATATAAAACATAAATTCTGACTGATATTAATTAAAACCAGTGCTACTTTTTGTACAATATATGCATAAAGGGTCTATTTTTAAATCTGTATCAATTTTTGGTCCATCCAGACAGTGATAAACAGCACGATGTGTGTGTTTGCATGCAGTATGTTAGCTACTCTCCACGCACAGAAGGAACACTCCCAGAGAGTAACAAGTACAGTCCAAGGACTCAGTCTTGCAGTTGTGTCTGAGCAAATTCAGGGTCTTCCAGAAGAGCTTCTTAGAGGATAGTAACATAAGAAGGTGAGCAAAAGAGTTGGTTAAGGCACAAGGATCGAGCAAATACAAAAGGGTATTTGAAAAACTTCTAAAGCCTTCATTTGTAGCCATGTTGTTGATGTGCTTTAAAAATCTAAATAAAACCACTGAGTCAAAATGGAGGGGTTTGTGTTTTATCAGAACACCTACTCAGCTTGAAATAGAAAAAAAATAATGGAGCCTGAAGGGATTTAAGTTTAGCTGAAAGCCATTGAAATGTGACATTTTGCACTTCATTTTTCATTTGCCAAACGAGAGAATTCGATTCGGTCACAATATTTATTCCCAGTTCCATCTTCTCTTTCTCTTTCATTTGGATTTACCTGCAACCTAAGCCAATAACTATCTTTTTTGATAGGTTCTCAACCTAGTGCAGTCCTATGTGACGCTGAGAGTGCCCCTGTACGTCTCCTACGTGTTCCACTCCCCGGTGGGCACAGGAGGCTGGCAGCATTTCGACCTGCAGTCAGAGCTGCGGCTGACCTTCGTGTATGACACTGCCATCCTGTGGAAGGATGGCATCGGCAGCCCCCCCGAGGCAGAGCTACAAGGTGGGTGCTGGGTTTCCTTCCATCAAACTCGTGTGCTGTTACTGAGAGTAATTTTCACACGGTAGGATGATTTTCCATTAATTCTAATATAAAAAAAAAACACTAATTGTGTATAATTTATTATCTGTACAAGAAATCTGTCCTTTCTTAGCACTTACACTTCCCTGCTGGGATGTGTGTGAGAACTGTGTAAAGCTGGCATCCATTCTTTTACTGCAAAGAAACATAATTGTCTTGTTGTGTATGAAGTACACATACAAAAATTAACACATTTATTTCCACTCCAAACCTGAAAGCTTCACTATTTATTCATATTCTGTTTCCACACAAGATGTTTAATGAAAAAAAAATGGATATTTTTCTGTAATGCCTTTTTTTTTCTGGCCAAGAATGTACTGTTTCAGAAACTTTTGCTATTTTGAAAACATTAATTGTGAAACATTTAAAAAATAGATAAATATATAATGGAATAGATAAATATATAATAGGTATAACATCCTGTCCTTTGTGTTACAGTAATAACCTGTGAAACACTCTTTAAATGTGACAGATACTGTAAAAAAAATTAGTGACATTAGTCAATAAATCAAACTATCATCACAGAATTTATCTTTGCAAAAAGATAATTTGTTTTTTCAAAATAGTGACATACAGACATCTGAAAGATTAAAATATATAGTTAAACCTCTATGCTGCATGAAGAATGAAGCACATGTCATGCCATACCTAAAGAATAAGCCACATGCCACAAATCAGATGATCTACTTGTCACCACATAACAACCAGATCTAATCCTCAGTCTCAGCACTTACATGGTGCATCTGTGCTACCATTTTCCTCTTTGGATGCTTTTCATTTTTTTTTCTCTGTTTAAGAAGCTGATGGCCAAGTCTCTGGAGATGCTGAACATTGGCAGCTCCCTTTGAAAACTGCCAGCACAAACCATGATAAAGATGATAGACCCCCAGCATGTCCCACTCTGATTTTTAACTCACTGCACAGCCTTGCACAACGAGCAGCTGTTTTTCTGGGCAGGGAGGAGTTTCCTAGTTTCCAGTTTATTTCCATACTTCTGGGTATAGATAATCATTCCTCATAAATTTTATTTTAAAAAGTAAAGCAATCAAGGTCTTCTAAAGCCATAATTCATACATATACATACACTTCTGGTGTACCCATAAGCATGATTGGTACAGGTGATTTTGTATGGGTGCTATACGTTCAGATTGGTGTGTTATTTTTCCAGCATGTTGATGGAGGAACATTCCTGTTTCCTCCTTGCTGCTGGCAAGCAGAACGCTGGCTCTTCACTAGCTCTCTGCAAGGGAGTGCTGGAGGAAACACCTGAACTCTGAAGCTTGGCAGAACTAGAGAAAAAGGGACTTGGCTGCAAGTTACAACAATAAACCACTTCTGATGTATAAACAAAACCTTCTAACTTGAAATTAGGAAACATTAGGCCCATGTTTTGGGCCAGATTTATGCCAGAAATTGCCAGAAGTCCAAAGTCTGTCTGAATGCATTTCACAGATTCAGGTACCCTCAAACAGATTGCCAGGGAAACCACAACCAACTGCTACAACTAAATGCTGGCAGGTGCTGCCTTGGGACAACAGATGGGGAGGCACTAATAAAGAATGTCTCTGGAGCAACTTTCATTGGTAGGAGTCAGTTTGAATATCTGATGAAAACAAAAATAGCCTTCTGTCTATAGAAACTCCTGGCAGTTGACCATGCTTGTTGACCAAGAAGGCCAATGGCATCCTGGGGTGCATTAGAAAGGGTGTGGTTAGTCGTTCAAGAGAGATGTCTCTGAAGCAGCTTTCGTTGGTAGGAGTCAGCTTGAATATCTGGTGAAAACAAAAATATCCTTCTGTCTATAGAACCTCCTGGCAGCTGACCATGCTGTTGCCTGAACACAAGCACAGACTGTGCTGTGGACTTTCCTCAGCCTACTTGAGCAGCTCCATAGCTCCACGATAACTTATAAAGCCTTGATTTTGCAGGAAATTCCTGTGTGTGCTTTAGAAAGCTGAAGCATTTTGAAAACTCTAGACCCCACTGTGTAAATTCTTGTTTGAGTCAGATCTTGAGTCAATCCCAATGGTCCTGGCAAGCCCCTTCCCAAACAACTGACATGACAAGAGGAAATGAAAGCGTGGGGCTGGTGTTTCATAGAAGTGGGGTTCATTTGGCACCTGCAAATGGACTAACCCTTGTGAACTGGCTTCTGCTGGCAGGTTCCCTGTACCCAACCAGCATGCGGATTAGTGACGAGGGACGCTTGGTTGTCAACTTCAAGACTGAATCCAGGTTTCATGGCCTGTTTGTCATGTCCCATCCTGGTAAGTTTAACCTGCACTTCACTGGTACTCTAAAAACACCCTTCACAAAATTTATACTGTTTGTTTTTCTTATTTCTGCTACTGAGACTTGAATTTTTTATGCACCATGCTCTTCAGGTAAGGATTTTTCCACTACTTGGGATTTCCTGCTTGTCACGGATGACTTTATTATTCAGATTGCAAAACTTAAGGAAATATGCATGAATCTGATGTAAAACAGCTAGTTCCACATTAAGCCTGATTTATAAAAGATGAAGATCTAGGCTATTCTGTCCATTAGTGATCTATAAATATGTTTTTAATCCAAAAGCTATGATTAGCTATTTACTTACGTTGCTCTAGGAACTTAGCAAGAAAATTTCTAATTTAAAGCCTTTCTAGGTTATTTAGACCTTTTCTCAGAGAGTAAGAAAAGGTCTTCTATAACCATTGTATCGCTCTGTTAACAAAATATTCTCACTGCCATTCAATTACTCATTGCTGAGGACCTGATGCTGCAATTTAATCTGTTTAAACCCCACTGCCTTTATGCAGAATAATCACAGGTGTAAGGCTCTGCCTACAGACATCAATCTGAGCATGAATGCCGGCCATGGGAAAGATTATCTAACTAAATTAAATCTGCAGAACAATAATGAGAAGGGGAAAAAAATCATTTTAAGAAATCTCTGAGCTTTATTCAATTGTATTAACCTATAAAACTCTTCTATTAGTGCTTCTGCTTTTTCTAGAAGACAGCTGTCTCCAGCACGTTAAGTTTTGCCTATAAGGCAGAGCTGAAAAAGTTACAAGGCTGAGACAAATTATTTTGTGTTCCCTGGGCTGACATTCCAAGTTTAAAAGGGGAGGGATTATAGATCTTTGCCATTCCACTCTCACTGTTTTGCCTGTCTGTTAAATTTAATCTCCATACATTTCTGATTGTGTAGCCCAAAAGCCACAACCAGAATTGTTGAACAAGAACCCAGGGGGCCCAGCTGTGTGGACTGGGATGGATTTTTTCAGTTTCAGTTAATAAAACCCTGTGCCCTGTAAAGGTGTTAACATCAGCGGAGCGTTATGGTTCCCGAATTAGTGGCGATGTTTTACAGGGGCTGGGAGTTTGCAGTGGAACACTGAAGGTGTTGAATCTGTCTCTTGGTGTGTTTCTAGCTTCATCTCTAACTTCCATGGTCATGTCAGCTGATCACCCAGGGCTGACATTTAGCCTGAGCCTGGTGCGAAGCGAGCCCACCTACAACCAGCCAGTGCAGCAGTGGAGCTTCGTCTCGGACTTTGCGGTAAAATCCTCACCCTGCCTTCTGTGCCCCAGCCTCTTAGTTAAGCTGTGGGTGGAACACCTCTCTCTCTGTCTCTCTCTCTGTCTCTCCAGGTTCGGGACTATTCTGGGATGTACATGGTGAAGCTGATAGCTTGCACCACGGCTCCTCATCAGGAGTACAGCCTGCCAGTGATCTGCAATCCTAGGGAGCCCATCACCTTTGATCTGGATATCCGATTCCAGCAGGTACCACCCCAGTGTGACCTTCCTCAGGCTTCCTTTTTAGTTTGATTCCCAAATTGATGTTGTTGGCCTTGTAGCGATGGTGCTAGAAGCTGAATTTACTTGCTTGTGAACATAGAATCATAGAAACTTTCTGGTTGGAAGAGAACTTTAAGATTCTGCAGTCCAGCCATTAACCCTGCACTGCCAGGTCACCACTAAACCATGTCCCTAGACATCACATCTATACATCTTTTAAATACCTCCAGGGGTAGAGACTCAGCCACTTCACTGGGCAGCCTGTTCCGCTGCTTGACAACCCTTTATGTGAAGAAATTCTTACTAATATGTAATCTAAACCTTCCCTAGTGCAACTTGGGTCCATTTCCACTTGTCCTATCTCTTGGTACATGGAAGAACAGACTGACCCAACCTCTCTACAACCTCCTTCCAAGTAGTTTTAGAGAGTGATAATGTCTCCCCTCAGCCTTCTTTTCTCCAGGCTAAACAACCCCAGTTCCCTCAGCCACTCCTCGTAAGACTTGTGCTCTAAACCCTTCACCAGCTTCATTGCTCTTCTTTGGACATACTCCAGCACCTCAATATCCTTCTGGTAGTGAGAGGCCCAAAACTGCACACAGTATTTGAAGTGTGGCCTCACTGTTGCCAAGTGCAGGGAATCAGTCACTCCCCTGGTCCTGCTGGCCACACTGTTTCTGATCCAGGCCAGGATGATGTTTGCCTTCTCAGCCACCTTGGCCACTGCTGGCTCATATTCAGCTGACTGTCAGCCAGCACCCCCAGGTCCTTTTCCTTAGGAAAGGCTACTGTAGGGGCACAAATGTTTTTTTTTGTCCTCAATGCATGGCAAATGTTAGGTAGCCAACAGGAAGCTCATTGACATTGTTGCAGGGGCAGCTACTGTGATATAAACTGACCTTTGGGATTCCTTTACTTGTCTGTTGGCTTTGGTTTGAAATAGTTTTATCAGATAATTAGGAAAAATGTAAAACTATTTTCAGGTTTTCATCTGACACAAAGATCAGAGCTAGGTATTAAAAATAGGACCTCCAGAGAAAGATTCATTCACTCTTAAGGTAGGACTTCCCTTATTGACTAGAGAGGATGTGTAGATAGCCAACACTGGTAAAACATTTAGCTTTAAGTCTCAGGAAAGTGAGACATCCCCCCCATTGCAATATGGATCATGTAGTAACATGGGAACAGGCAAACATCATGCCTTTCACAAAGCCCAGCTGTAAAGCTCTGTGTCTGGGAACAAAACCTGGAGAAATACACTCTGCTGGAGAAACCATCGACTGAAAAGAATCTGTGGGTCATGTTGTGTAGTTAACAGAGCATGAGCTGCCAGTTAGCAGGGTTACCAAAAGGGCTGGCATGACCTTGGAATGTGTAAGGAGGATGTTATATCACTTCTGTTATTTGGAGCCAATGCAACTAATAGTGGAACACCGTGGCTGTGGTTTCATGCACATTAATGGTATAGACATATGCTGTTAAATCATCTTGCTGTATAAATCTGATCCATATCACTCAGGGACATACAATCACTTTTCTGTTGAATTAGCCAGAGTACACAAGGGAATGTATGGAGCCTTTATGCTTTCATTTGGCCTTATGCCAGCTATGGGAGAACAGATGATTCCTGATATAGCATTAAGTCCTGGCGAAGCAGAGGGGTGATATATGATCTGACAGGAAACCTGCCTTCTCAGAGTCAACCAGCAAAACATTCTGAAAAAGTCTGAATGGAGAGGGTGAGGGGAATTTATACTAGTTCAGCACTTCAGCTTTTGTCTGGCATTTTTAATCTGCTTCTAGGAACTCTAAAGCAATTCACAGCAATGCTACACCACAGCTTTTGTATGGTCCCAGTATAAACAAGAAGATGTTGTTTATTCAAAGAAAGTTAAAAAGAGTTGTAAAAACAATTGCAAAATGGGCAAGGTAGCCTAGGGAGAGACCTATCTCTTACCTGGAAAAAGTCTATGACTGTGAACTATGACTAAGAATCACCTTGGAATAAATAAATGGACACAATACGGCTCATTATATCAGATAAAGCTTTAATAATACAGCGTGGGGAATTTTCAAGTATATCAATTCAAAATAGGGATAAGGTGCAAAACTGCAACACTGTCATAATCCTCAAGGACTGTGGTCAGTTAGTAGCCTATCACCAGCAATTTTGAAGCCAAGACCAGCTCTTTTTCTTGAGATACTCATAGTCAAAGGAATTCAGGAAATTCTGTGGCCCATGATATTGTTCCCTTTGATCATGGACTGGAAGACTATGTGGACTTAAAGCAGGTCCCATAAAAGCAGCAATTAGCAGCAGTGCAGTAGCCCAAAATCAGTAGACAGTATCTAGCACTCTACCTTTAAAATTTTCTAGTAGTTCTGCAAAACAGAATTAAGCATTGGTGTCCTTTCTTTTAATGGCAAGAAACAAAAGACAGAGAAGTGAACATGAAATGTCAGTCTGTGACACTGGTCTGGGACTAGGAAACACTTGATACTCTGCACAGGCCTCCTGCATCCAGCCCCAGAGTCCCCAGTGCAAGAAAGGCATGGGCCACCATGTCAGAATGGGTCCAGAGGAGAGCCATAGGATGGTCAGAGGGCTGGAACACCTATTCTGTGAAGAGAGGCTGAGAGAGTTGGAGTTGTTCAGCCTGGAGAAGGCAAAGCTATGGGCAGAACTTATTGCAGCCTTTCTATATATAAAGAAAGATGCAGAAAGACTTTTTAATAAGGACTGTAGAGACAAGTGGCAATGATTTTAAACTGAATGAAGCCAGACTTAGATTGGATATAAGAAGAAAATTTTGATTATGAGGATGGTGAGATATGGGAACAGGTTGCCCAGAGAAGCTGTGGATGCTTCATCCCTGGAAGTGTTCAAGTGTCAGGTTGGATGGGCCTTTCAGCAGCCTGGTCTAGTGGAAGATGTCCATGCCCATGGCAGGGTGACTGGGCTAGGTGATCTTTAGAGATGCACTCTGATCTGAACCTTCTGTGATTCTGTGAAATCAGTGAGTGCAGATGTCATAATTTTGGCAGTACAGTCTAATGGTGTCTCCCCTCTGGAGATTTTGGTTCAACACTTCCTTCTTTAACATGTATCTGTCCATCTCTGTTTCCCTCCCCCTGTGGCCCCTGAAGAGGGAAGCAGGTAGCCTGGAGCACTAGTGAGGATTGTATGGCCACTGCCTCCCTCTGGGATTACCTGAACATGAACAGCACTCAGCTTCCAAGCTCTGCTTTATGCCAGTCCTCTCAGCGTGTCCTTTCTTTAAAAGTTCATCACTACTTTCTGAGAGAAGCACTTCCATATTCAGGGTAGTTGCTGCCCTAATAGTAACCTAAAATAGGATGCCTAAGGGCTGTATTCATAGTTATATACATAGTGTTTACCCAGGCAGTTGCTCTTACCATTGTTGTAGACTATGTGGTTGAGGTTCAATGCCTTTAGCTGAATACACACTGCACGTTTCCTACTCACTGGACATTTATTCTGACCAGGAAGGGCTTGATGAGCCCATGCTTGATCCACTTTCAGAACCTCAGCTGGAAAACAGTTGTGCCAGTTGGGTATTAGAAGCTGTGGGACTGCAGTCCAATAGCCTGAATCCCAGGCATTTAGAAGGAGACATTCCAAGAGAAGGGAAATTATTTTAAAAATTATTATTTCTGTGAAAGGGTTATGGAGGTGGGGTTCCTTTTTCTGAAGAGTAGCAGTGGCTTTCTAAAAATATTTCATCTATACATTCTTCCAGCCAAATCCTTTTGCTTTAATGGTGTTGGACCTTTATTGTGAAAAAAGGATTTGAAGAAGAGTAAACACATCAGCTATATAACTTGCAGCAGTAGTTCCTGTTGATCTTGTTATATCTCATTCCAACAGCCGCTTGGCCATGAGCCAGCAAGAATGTTTTCTTTTCTGTTTTTCTTCCTTCCTTTCCACTCACATATACATATACATACATAAATATACAGATTTATGTTAGCATTTCTTTATTTGTTTAGTGGCCTTCTTTTTGATCAGGTACACTGCATCTTTTTGAACTTTAGGCTCTCCTCAATTCTTCTGTTCACTATATTCTTTCTTTTTTGTTATGCCATGTTCCTGTATAGTTTGCCTTCTAACTTACATTATATGGCCTAATGAGAACCTGCTGCTGATAGTATTGATTTATTTTATTCTTGTAATGTAATCAGAGAAGAAACACAGATAACTATATCAAACACATAAAGATAAATATTAACATAAAAAGGTGCTCAAATGGTATGGTGCATTTTCACATTCATGGTCTGATATCCTGCAGCACATCAGAAGAACTGATACTTGCAAATAAATCCTCAGCAATGTGTGCTTTCAAATAATTGGCAGAGGATCAGAAGCAGAGGTGGGACTTGGGTGTAAGAATGAAAATGGGATGGAGAAAACAGGCTGTGATGAGTCAGAGGGAGACAAGTTATTGAGGGAAATACTTTCCTCCTGGTACCCCCACACATAAGTTGCCCTGGGCACCTCCTTGGTTGGGATTTGGAAGAATGTGGTGGGAAGAAACTAACCTAGAAACCTATAAAATATCACAGAGGCAGATAACCTGAAGAGTGTATGCATGTAAAAGATAGATATATATGTAAAAAAATCTGTCTAGTACAAAGAAATCTCTTGAGTTAGACTGTATTATTGCATGTAGATGTGTGGAGCTGATCAATAATGTACATGGGGAGAAGATCATGCTGTGTTTTGAGAGTCATTAAAGAATACTTGTTGAAGAGCCTCGTGCTGTTGTGTTTTAGGTCAGTGACCCGGTGGCTGCTGAGTTCAGCTTGAACACTCAGATGTTTCTCCTCTCCAAAAAGACACTATGGCTATCTGATGGCTCAATGGGCTTTGGGCAAGAAAGTGATGTTGCTTTCTCAGAAGGTATAGTTGTGCACAGCTCATGCACATTTAGTATGTGTTCCACACTGTCAAGATCCCATTATCAGTCAAAAAAAAATAAGGGGTTTGGGCTTTTTTGGTTTCTTTTGCATTTGCCTTTCCTACCTGGCAGGTTACAGGTGGGCTGCTGGCCAATCTGCCCTGAAACTATGCCTGAGGGTCACAGTGCTGGTGCCATTTCCCACTTTATAAACAGTAGCTGATATTAAGAACATTTGCAGTTGATAAATGAATATTACACAGTTTTTTTCTTGTGGATGAATGTACTGGGTGTGGCTGGCATGGAGTTAACTTTCTAATAGCAGTCACTATGGTGCCCTGCTTTGCATCTGTGGCTAAGCCAGTGTTGATAATAGGTAAATGTTGTGACTGCTACTGGACAGTACTTGCAGGGCATCATGCCTTTCTCCCTTCCCCCTGTCTTGAGCACTTTCTGCCACGTGTATCTGACCAGTGCACACTGTATACTTGTGCCTGTACAGCAGTGGCCCAGGTTATTTGTACAGGCCTGGCAGGCATGTCTGTCTTAAACGTTATCAGAGAGCTGAAATGCAATTATACAACAGGGAGTCAAGACTCAGAAAATGTCTCAGTGTAAGGAAACTGTTCTGCAGCCTGCACAGGACTACTGACACAAAAAAAGAACCTCTCTTCAACAGAGTGCATTGTCAGGAGGCAGAAACCTCCTCCCTGCTCTGGTGCAGAGGAGTACCTGATGTTTCCTTATGTCACTTTGCCAATGGACAGTCCAGTGTAGCCTAGAATTAAAGCAGCCCCTGAACTGATCCAGGTTATAGCAACAGCAGCTGGCCTCCTCCTGCTCTTGTGTGGCCCAGAGTCCATGGAAGAGTGTGCCCCCTCACCATGGCCTTGGACAGACACAGCAGAGGAGGATGCAGTCACAGTACACTGCACCAAGCTCCTTGGCTGGACTCTGCCTGGGCCTCAGCACTGTGCTGAACGTTCCAGTGGGATAGGAGCTGAACTGTGTGCACTCTTCACAGGTGATGTCATATATGGCCGGGTGATGGTGGACCCAGTGCAGAATTTGGGTGAGTCCTTCTACTGTAGCATCGAGAAGGTTTTCCTGTGCACAGGAGCTGATGGCTATGTACCCAAATATAATCCATCCAACACTGAATACGGGTGCCTTGCTGATTCTCCTTCCCTTCTCTACAGGTTTAAGATTGTGGTAAGTGTTCTAATTCTGAGAGGATGCACATGTATAATTTTTTAACTATTTTTTTCTGACTTTTCTTTAATCCAAAAGTAAATGTTCTTTAAAATGTTCTCAATGACACCAAACTTTTGACTCAGGCTCCAGGCTAACATGAACTGATAATGAAGATAGTATCTTACCTTTCTGCCTCCTGCTTCTATTCTTAATCTTTCTGGGAACTCTCATAATTTAAAGTTTGACCTGACTTAATTAACTCTAAGAAAGATGATTATCTAATTATCTCATTTATATGAAAGTCTGTTAATAGAAATGAAAGGTAGCTTCTTCAAACTGGGAATTAATTTTTAGCCAGACCACATTTATGTATCCTTGTTATTTTAGAAAAGTGGCTATGGATGTTTTCTAGTGTTTCCCCCTGTATTTAAAAAAAAAGTCTTCAGACAAGAGATTAAATTTAAGTTAGTAGATGTCAGATGTGACCACAACATCTTCTTATGTCTCTTCTCTTGATATTACACTGCATTGCATAAAATACAATGTGTAAATGACACAATTTATATGTTGCATGTAAATATTAGAACTGGTTTTCCTAGAAGAAATGAAACTGTGTTTTACAAACTCTTTTTTCCCTCCGTGACCGTGTAGGACAAAGCTCAGCCAGAAACACAAGCCACAAGCTTTGGAAATGTGCTTTTTAATGCAAAGCTTGCAATAGATGATCCTGAAGCGATTCCATTGGTGAAACAGCCAGGCTCTGATGGATTTAAAGTAGACTCAACTCCTCTGTTTCAGGTAGGATTTCTATAGCCTGTTAGCCAGACTACTGAACCAAGAAAGAAACACTTGCACAAGAACTATGGTTAACAATAAGTCACACTGAAGCCAACAGAAAGATCTATTCCAATTCCAGTGGCAGTTAAACAGGATTAGAAATGCTTAAAAATTTATAGATAAAAAATTTGGAGTACTTAGTTAAAGATTTCTATGCTTTTATCTTGTCTAATGCCACAATCTAACCAGCATACAAATTATTATTATTAATTTTTCCTAAGAACTTGATAAGTTTCTTGTTACATGGTATTGTTTTACTGCTTCCCATCTCACTTGTCAAAAACAAAAAAGCAAAACAGTCCAAAGCATTTAGAGTGAACTTCATCAAAATCTAGCTGATACTCAGCATCTTCTGTGCAATTCTTTTCTTGCAGATTTGCACATTGTGAAACATATTAAGCACTCGAAAGCCTAAAAATAGACAGCTAAAGGGTGCAACTACTTCTTAATTAAATATAATCCATGAGCTGTGTGCATTCACCCCTTTGGTCTATAAAACCCAGACAGGAGTTTTCTCTTCACTATTTGACTCTTTCTATTTGCAAAACTACATGCAAAACTTGTGTATAAGTTAGTAGAAGAAATACTGAGGAGTCTTCTCCTGGCCATTTCAGTATTAAAGGTCCTATTGTAAGCAATGGAATATTTAAGAGAACAAACTACTTATCAATATAAAAAGGGTTTCATAATCTGCCCCAATGAAAATGAAATCTTATTTTTTGTATGAAGAATCCATTTCCAATAATGCAGTGTCAATAATATATTCTACCAAAAGAAGGAAAATATGAAGAAGCAACAGTATAGCTTGAGAAAGCCTTGAAAAACTAACAGTTAAAATAGAACATGTGCTATTTATCAATAACAATAAAATAGAAAATGTGTTATTGTATCTCACAATAACAGAAATTGACTGCAACCACTGAAATTATCAGCCAGCAGCTTTAGAACAGTATTCAGACAGTCCTAGTGGACTTTGTGGCCAAATTCATTATGTATGCAGAAAAGACAAGACAATTTCAAGGAAGATCTCATCACCTCACACAGACTGCAGGGAATCTTGTCACAGGAGGGATGAGGTTGTCAGGGACCTCTGGAGATTGTCTGTTCCCATCCCCTGCTCAAAGGAGGGGCACCTAGAGTAGGTTGTCCAAGACCATGTCCAGTTTTTAATATCTCCAAGGATGGATACTCCACAGCCTCCCTGTTCCTATGTTCAACAGGCATCACAGTAAAATCTAGTTTTCTTATGTTAAGGTGGAAGCAGAGCCACAGCCAGGGCCGCATCACCAGGTTGGGCCTGGAAAGTCCTTTTCTGCAGGCTATCTACAACTGATGTTCTTTGTATGGCCACTGGTACTAACAGTACCAAAAAAATGCCAAGGCTCTGCTTCTTCATCTGCCACTGATAGCCATGGAGAAGAGTGGAGACTACCCTCTCTTAAAATTTGGCAGAAAACATGACTCCTCTGGTGTACGTCGGCACAGAGCGGGGGGTTATCTGTGCATGATTTTGGGAGTACTTGTCCAGGCAGGGAATTTGGAACAATGACTGATTTCCTCCGTGTACAGTGTTGTCCAGGTTGTGTACGTGTGTCTGTGAACACCAAACGTTGTGTCTTTGTAGGTGTCTTTGGGCAGGGAGTGGTATGTCCACACGATCTACACCGTGCGTTCAAAAGAGAGCGCTAACCGTGGGATCGGCAAGAGAAGCCTAGAGCACCAGTACCACCAGTACCACGCCCTCTTCAGTGCTGGGAGCCCAGGAGCAGCCACACAGAGGCGTCAGAAGAGGGGAGCTGATCAGGATCCAGAGCTTGCCAAAGACATCGGGGCAGAAAGCAACCGAGGGACAAACATACAGCACATAGCACTGGATCGCACGGGCAAGAGGCAGGCTCCGCGGGGGGAGGCTGCAGCCAAGGGGGTTCTGCCCAGGGAGCTGGACAGCCAAAGGGCAGGGCTCAGCATAGTCACAGTCCTTGGTGGAGCTGCTGCCATCTTCCTTGCCATCTGCTTGATTGCAATCATCGTGCTGCTGCTAAAATGGAAACAAAATTCGGACAAGCAGGAAGCCACAAAGGAGTCAGGCAGCAGTGAACCCATGGTGCCACCATATAATGATACCAGTGACAGCTCAGAAGTTTAATTGGGAGACCACAGGATTCGAGCCAGAGTCTCCAGAGTGCCTCAGAAAACAAACAAACAAACAAAGAAACAACTTGAACTGCACTTTGTTAGCAGCAGATCACAGTGACTCGTGAGGAGCAGAGAGTTCATATGCTTTTAGGTGTACTTGAAATTTTTTATCCTGAACTCTTGCTGCCTTTATTGACAACAGAAGAATCCACCTCAACTCTCCCACGGTGCACAAAAGGCAATCCTGACATCCCTGTGTCATGCACTAATCTTCAGGAGCAATTCAAGGACCTGCATTATAAGGGAGAGGTTTTGGTTTTGGTTTTGTGTTTTCTGACATTTCAAAAGAGTAGAAGAAACTCTCCAAAGGTGCTATGTATCCTGTCTGAAATAAGAGAGGAAACCTGTTTCTTCAGAAACACAGAATACTTGAGAGGAGGAATCCTTATGCTCATCAGTTAGATTTTGTACTGTTTTTACAAAGAACTCAATGTCTGCAATTACTCTGAAAGGTGCTGAGATGCCTTAGGTGTGGATCCTCCTTCCTACAAGCTTAAGCTATGTCAGTGGTTTAATTTTTTTCTACTTATGTGTAACTGAACTTTTTCAAAAGACAGCTAGATTAGACAGCATAACATTGTAAACAGTTGCATGTCACAGAATGCAATACATAGTCGTTTCTGCCAAGTTTTATTCAGCTATTTAATCTGATTTTTTTTTCCTTATTTATGTTTATATAAAGCCAAAGAATGCAACAAATCCAGAAAGAATTTTTTCACTGAAACTGGATGCTTACGTCCTCTTAAGTTTATAATGGATCATGGAAGTGTTTTAAGGCATATTATATTTGTAAGTGCTGGGAAATGCAAACATGAGTATTTCAGTGCCTAGAGAAGATGATAGAGTTAGATTCAAAATGCAGAGGACAAGGTTCTGCCTGAACTGAGCCTAGGAATCTTAATACTGAATCCAGCACGTGATTGTCAGTAGCCATATTAAATGGCAAAAAAAATGAAGAAAAAATGAACATTTGATCAAATCAAGTAGTATTTATTACTGTATAATCATAGCACATCTTGACAAGCGTGCTGGGCCATTGTTGGGCATTTTTATAACAAGTGACTACTCTTGCAAGGGTCACTCTGGTTTTTCTCTCAGCTTCTCGATTCAGGTAACGTGTCAGCACGTTGTTCCACAGCAGTTTGAATCAGCAGAGTCCCACCTCAGTTCTCATCCAGACAGGACCTGTTCTGTCCCAAAGATATCCTGCCAAATGCCTGGCTATGAAAACTGTGTAACCTTCAGGACACATTGTCCCATTTCTCAGACTAGCATTGTGTACGAATAAATCCTTTCAAGTCCATGGAGTTAAACCACATGAACAATATAAAATCTGCATCAGGGTGAGACTGTTGCTAACATACCTTTTCCTTTCCACCAGCTTGTGGTGATGGGTGCAGGCAGCCCCCTCTTGGTGTTTGGTGTTCTGGGGACTGTGCTGCAGAGGTCTGAGTTAGCTGAGCTGGATCCTACTTGAGAGCAGCTTGGCTGGGAGCACAGAGTGCTGCCTCTGAACTGAAAAGTCCATCCAAAAGTCTTCTGGCCCAGAATCTGTCCTACCTTTCCTAGGTTTTCTGAAGCCTGTGGTTCAGACTGCTTGATTGAAGGAGGTTTGCAGCAACCTGAGGGTCAAACGCCATGACTAGAATCATGCAGTCATCCTTTAGTTTAATTAAGCTGAGTTCTAGCCTGAAACAATGAGCCACGAGATGTGTCCAGTGTATTAGACCTTTTCCCTAGTCACCTGACATTAATTTACTGTTTTAATGAAGTTCCTGGTTTTGTGATCCATGTATTATGTGTGCAAGATTGATCAAAGATTTAACCCACCCACAGACTCTTTTCTTTATATTTTAAGTTCACCACTAAATTGCAAATGTAACCTAGGATCAAATTTGCCTTTGTATCTATATGTGACATCACTATGATAATGAGAAATGCAGAATTTGTCTCCTAGAACCTGCATGTTTGGGTAGTAACAGCCAATGATTCTACAATAAAATGGGACACATGTAAATAATAGAACATTTTAATATTTATAAAACGCCTCTTTTGTATAAGCAGAGAATATCTTTTTAAAAATATATATATAAAATACAGAAATTAGGTGTTTATCAATAGAGCTATTTTTCTGCTTTTGGATTTTAACAGACTGAAATATTGTTAAAGTTGCTTGCAGGCAAAATCTCTTTCTAATTATTATTTCTTTATATAAAATCACATCAAAAAAACATGTGTTCTACAAGCCAAATATTTAGCCTGGTCAACAACTCAATCATTGCTTTGACCAATGTCTGATTACAACTCTAAAATGTTTAGGTTGATGGGGATTATCAGACTAATATTTTTCTAACAGTACATGAAATAAGAGTGCAAACTGGTGATAACAAAGAAAAACAAAAGCAAACACTGAAAAGCTGGGCAAGCATGAGTGAGATTGATGAATCAGATATCCAAGTCCTCTTCCTGGGAAAAAATCCCAATGTTTTCAGTAAGGCCTGCTGGATTTGTCCCATTCTTCAGCAATTGGATTTCTTACAATTCAGTGAACTATAAGTGCATCTGTAACAGCACACCTTCTTTATTATGGCTTCAAGGTTTTAGATTTCAGCAAGATGTTTGGAGGCTTATTAACATTTTCCCTTCTACTTAACAAGTGGCCTTGTTTCTACTAACCTGGATAAGTGCCTCACTCCCAGTTATGTGCACAAATATGTTAATATTTATCTATCCATGCAATAAACTGAGTATATTTTATATATATATTTAATCTATTTCCAGATTATGTATTCAATCCTCTTTTCCCTGGAGATGCTTATTCTGCTAGCATTAATAACGTTTGTTAAACCATTTATACAACAATTAACTGTGTTTAAATTTGTTATCAAGCTGTCAAAATTCTTTCCAGACATATTTATTTGGAACAATTTTTTGCTTATGTCTATGGCTGTGATATTCAACATCTGTATCAGGAAAAGAAATAAAACTACTTCTGTTTTGGTTACTGATCTAAACTTTGTGTATGAATATCACACTGTGGAGAGGGGTCAGTAGTGCAGTGTTCAGAAAAATTAAGTAGTCCCATCAATGGAAAGACATAAACTTACTGCTGTGTTTGCAATAAATCCCACTGCTTTGTGCCTGAACTGATTGTTTTCTGGTCATGAAGTGTTCAGCACAAGGGCAGATTCAGGCTGGATGTGAGGAAGAAGGTCTTCCCCATGAGAGTGGTGAGACCCTGGAATGGGTTGCCCAGGGAGGGGGTTGAGGCCCCATCCCTGGGGGTCTTTAAGGCCAGGCTGGAGGAGGCTCTGGGCAGCCTGATCTAGTGGGAGGTGTCCCTGCTCATGGCAGGGGGGTTGGAACTGGGGGATCCTTGGGGTCCCTTCCAGCCCTGACAGATTCTGATCTGTTTTAGCAGAGGACTTTAGAGCCCTAATGGCTCAATGGTTGGACTTGATGATCTTGGAGGTCCCTTCCAACCTAAAGGATTCTATGATTGCACTCAGCTCAGGGAGGGATTTGTCTGTCATTCCCAGAACATCAGGAGTCTCTAGGGATCTGCAAGGGCTTTGGAGGCTGATGCAGAAAGATACAGAAAGCAAAAGCAGCTCTGAACCTTTCCTCTCACCCCACCCTTTGCAAACTGGAGAACACTGTCCTCTGATTTCTTTGTGAACTTCAGCAATGTCCTTCACTGTCAAATGGGCAGGAGCACGAGTGGCACAGTGTATTTACCAGCTGCTCTAAGGGAAGATAAACCTGCAGACAGTGATTCCTGCT